AATCCTTGAACTGGAATTTTACAGCCGAACCGAGAGATTGTAGGAAGAGTGGCTCAAATTTGCGCTCTGATACCAGATTGTTAGGAACTCCCAACGATTATCTCTCAGGAACTGGAATTAATCACGAATTGCACATACAAGATTTCTCAACCCCGAAGGATCGAGCCGCCGCCGCCTACGCCACCGCGCATATTCCAGTTCTTAGCCGCCTTCTACTTGTTCTTCGTTTGCGTTTATATTACATAGTTTCGGCTGATCTCTCTCTCTCTCAGACAGCTCATGCCAGCTGGTTGTTTACTGGACCCATTGGTCACCCTTGTAGCGTGGATTGGGCCTCCTTGCTCTTGGCCCAAGCTGGACTGGTACTTGCTTCTTCTTGGTCTTGAAGTCTGGTTTTCCTCCTTGTTCCTGGGCATCTGCTTCCTTGTCGTCAGGCTCCAGCACCTCTTCCTCTTCTGCTCCTTCTTGTATCATCTCTTCTGTATCTTCTCTTGCTCTTGGTGGAGATGGAGGCCTGACAAGGCGCCGCCGCCGTTATCTTTCTTTGTCTGCTGGACTGGTTTTCCTAGCAGTTGTGGGCATGGTTCTTACATTTCTGGTGGTAACAACTGATCTAACATTGGACTCTGGCAACAGCTGGGACGATCTTATTTTCAGTATTACCGTCGGTGTGTTCGTATTTCTTCTGATGTTTGGTCGGGTGATTTTCGTTTTGTCAATCTTAGCAATCCCGATATGTTGGCGGCTTCCAATGCAGTTGTGGAGGGGCAATCATCTGCATTTCTGGCAGGACATACTGAAAGTAATAGCTGCAGCTATCTTTCTTGTTTATGTATCCCTCGGTTTTCTCATGACCGTGTTCTCTGTCCTTGAAGTTGTTCTCGCATTTTTCTTTGTGGAGATTGAAAATGTCACTCCTAGTAGTATAGAATTTTGCAGCTGGCACGGGTGTGTGATCCAACATGGTGACCTAATTGCTTTGTACCCCAGTTGAGGTTTTGTGAAAATCTCTTAGCTTTTCTCGGCTACTGCTGTTGCTTTTATCAGTCGTGGTTCTGTAATACGCTGCTTTGCTATCGAACTGTAGCTGTAGTCCTTTGTAACAGAATTTGTTTTTCATGCTATAGAAAGCTCTCCTACTAGGCACTACTACAGAGTACCTTATCACTAATAGGTGAAAAGCATCATCAATAATGGTTCCTTTTACCCATTACAGTATTTGTGTCACTGGCATGGGATATATCATCCATAATGGTTCATGACCCGTTACAGATCCATTGATCTCTAACGGTTTTGTTAAAGTTTGTGTCAAATATATATATAAAGTCGGTTACAAATTAGGATTAAAGTTGTATTGTATTCTAATAGAAGTAGAGTAATACTCTTCCTAAACTCTCTTTAAATAGAGAGACACTTGTTATAACCGCATGACGACTGTAGCAAATGAGGGAATGATTGACCAATAGTGTTGTAAGTCAAACAGTATAATTGCCAGTTAATGGTTGTTGATACCCTTATATGTGTAATTATGTTGGATTAGGGAGGAGCGCCTATAATTAGTGTCTCGGGGATATAGGTTCCAGCTGAACTTTAGTTAAATATCATGGCACGATGTCGCCACCACGTTTGGATCTTAGTGTATTTTTGCGTTTGATTGCCAATGTCTATTTCGGTGTTGGTTTTATAATAGGTTCACAATTATAAACTATTATAGATGTGAAATATTAGGGGGAAATATTCCGTTTACAAGTTATAAACCGATAGGTTATAGATGTGGATTATTGAGACATAAAAGAAAGAAATGGCACACTGGCGGATGTCAACAGCTCGCCCACCGTGCTTGTCACAACCTCACAGAAATCACAAAAGGAAATGCATAATAGAACTTATACATTCTGGCAAACATATTCAGAATCATCAAAAAGAATTGAATGATGTTCCGTGAAGGAAGAATCAAAATATTACAATGATCAACTCAAAGGAAAACAAGAATGATATGAAGGTGCCAAGAAAGCTACTAACAAGTTTCGGGGGAAAAAAAGCAGTGTCCTCCCTTCTTGATGCAGAAGACGTTCACCTGCAACAAACAGATCGTCCTCATCTCATCAGCGGCAACAATCAGTTGATCATGCACAACGAAAAAAAATACATTTTACACCCTCGATCAAAGCAAGTACGATGTGTGTGTACAAAGGTGTGTATTCGCTTATTTCTTACATCTAATTAAATGAAGATTTAGCTAGGTTAGGGTCAGCTTGAATGGACTAGGGTGTGTTTAGTTCACGCCAAAATTGAAAATTTGTTTGAAATTAGAACGATGTAATGGAAAAGTTGAAAGTTTGTGTGTGTAGAAAAGTTTTGATGTGATGAAAAAGTTGGAAGTTTGAAGAAAAAGTTTGGAACTAAACAAGGACTAGCTTATATGGTTATACCTAGACTTGAGGCCCTGTTTAGATCCCACCCCAAAATTTTTCACCCTGTCATATCGAACATTTGAACACCTGCATGAAGTATTAAATATAGGCTAAAAAATAACTAATTACACAGATTGTGACTAATTTGCGAAACGAATCTTTTAAGCCTATTTACTCTATGATTTAACAACGTGGTGCTACGGTAAATATTTGCTAATGACAGATTATTTAGGCTTAATAATTAATTCGTCTCGCGGTTTACTGACGGATTCTGTAATTAGTTTTTTTATTAGTGCCCGAACACCCTTTGCGACACCCTATATAATACATGAGGTGACACGCTAAAATTTTACACCCCTGCATCTAACCACCCCCTAAATCTATAAGAGTACTCCTTAGCTGAAATGGGAGTGGCTTTTGGAGCAGCTAGAGAGTTGGACTGAAGTCTAAAGTTTTGGGTTTCTGGAACCCTTCCATAGGCGGTAGGAACTGAATGTGGTCAGATGATACGGTACCAAAGATACCACTATAATCCACTCATCAAATGAATTGAAGCATGCAAAGACCAACAAGAAGCCTATAGGGTTAGAACTTAGAAGAGCCCTTAGCTTTGAGCCAAGCTATAGGCCGGTCTGTGGAATATGCCTATGCATATTCAAAAACATTACAATGAACTTTAGTATAGTAAAAATTTGTTACAGGACATGGCTTTTGCCGGTAGACATTGCAAAATTTTGGATTTGCTGAAAGATAATGAAAATTTGTTGGGTGCATACTGAGCCCATTAAAATATTATTTTCTATTGAGTTAGAGAGAGATATTTGTATCGAAATATTTTGCTACAAACAAACCCCATATTCCTCTTCCATTTTCTCTCTTTCCCCAATCTTTCCTTTTCATCTACACATGATGGTGGGCAGGGTGATCATGGAGGAAGTATGCCAGATGCTGGTAAGTTGTACCGTCCCAAGATCTACTTGGCTTCGAGCTCTTTGGTGTTCATTCGATCTGTTCATCATGAGCCCCCCGCCATTAGATTTGAACTCCCATGCTTGGATTTGCCAATGTTGTGACTCGATGAAGAATAGGATATGCGGTGATATATCTTGCCGGACTCTGGAGCTTCGTAATATGTTCCATCTTCCTAGCACCAAGGAAGATAAGCTTCGTCATGATACTCTACACCATTCCTCAAGAGCATGGGAACCACCACTTGATCTAGATGGAGCAAGACATGGATCGAAAGTTGTGAAGAATGTCCTCTTATTGCCCGGCTATCCATCCGGACAAACACTAGGAGCCTAGTTGCCATATGGGCACATGCGACCGTGTTTTGCTCACAGAATTCATCAAATCATTGGATTTTTATCATGCCGCCAACATTGCCGCTAATCTTTGCATAAAGGTTTTGCTCTCACTAACATGTTGTTGATACATCAGTTACTCTGATTCAATGTAATTAGGAGGTATGGTTCACTTACACGAGAGAAGAGATAGCAAAAACGGATAACAGACGAGATGGGCAAATATTATACATTTCTCTCTCTAACACAATGGTAAATGATATATTCCAGTAGGCTTAATATACATGAGTAATTTACCACAATCTTTCCGTCCATAGTGGTCTTTAATTTCCCAATCTTGGGCTATGCCCAAGTGTTACAAGGCCTAGGTTATTAACTGTTTTCTAAACACGTAATTGCTAAATGGCATTTAACGAAAAATCGAGAGATATTTCTCATATATTTTGAACCAACCGATGGTATTTAACGGAAAATCGAGGGATATTTCTCATATATTTTGAACCAACCGATTTGCTTGGAGATTCGTGTGCCCAACTCCTTCTCCTCTAGCTCCGATGAAGCTCTAGCGAGTGACGAGGTCTTGGGTTGGGGTAGGGGTGGGATGAGAAAGAAGGAGAGATCGCCGGGCTTAAAGGGATGGCCGTGAGAGGTAGCGGCTCGATAGTGAGTAGTGGACACGGGCAGGTGGTGAGACGTCGGCGGTGGTGCCGAAGCCACAAGGATGGAGGAGCACGGTGGGTCGGTGTTGGTGGTAGGGCCAGAGCGAAGCGAGTGGTTAGAAGGCGATAGTCGATGGTGGGGGAACCAATGATAGGGAACTGTCGGAGATAGGAAAGACGGCGGGACGGGGCACTTTACTGCCGCTAGCTTAAGGAGGAGAAGAGGAAAGGGGAAGGGGCTTGCCGGTGCCGTTGGCGCCTTCTAGCCAGCCGGTGAGGGCGGGGGAGGCGGACGTTGCGACATCGACATCCAGTGAACGAGCATTCTGTCAAGAAGAGTATAAGGTGAAAACACTATAGTTGCATGAATCTTAAATCAATCCGAGCCATTCAAAAGTAACTGAAAATGAGGGAGGGTTTTTCTTGTAAATATTATACGTACGTTTAGCGATCAGACGGATAGCAAAACCGACTGAGATCAGCCAAAAAAAGTGTCGACATCTTTTTATCAAGTCCGTTTCTAAAATACATACAACTATTTTCGAAATGTTTATTTATCTATAAAGTCCAAAAGCAAAAAGACACTGCTTGCAAATCAATCAGTCTTTCTCTCTCCGATTCTCTGTACCCTTATCAGCTCCTCCATCTCTATGAGACGTTCCTATCGCCGGCCGGGCCGCTTCAGACGACAACAACCCTATCCGCCGGAAGAACCAAGAAAATTTGGAAGAGACAATTCACAATTGACGAAGAAGGGAAAAATCCTCCGATTCCTCCAGTCTCCCATCGAGCGGAGCACACAAACCAAACCAAGAAAACCGGTGATGCTTCCCCCCGCCCTCCTCCTCGTCGTCGCCGTCGGCGCCGCGCTCCTCCTCGCCTTCCGCCCTCCGCTGCCGGCCCTCGCCGCCCGCCCCATCGTCGCCGCCGCCGGCGGCAAGCCCGCCCCCACCGAGGCCGCCGCCACCGCGAGGTGGCTCGCCGCCCAGAACACGTGGGGCGTCCTCAGGTTGTCCCCCTCCCAATTCCTTTGCCTTCTTCTTGCTCGTGATCCCCTACTGTTTGGGGGGACTGATTGGTTGATGCCTCGGTTCTTTAGGAGATGACAATGGGTGGCTCGATCGAAATTGGGGGTTCTTAGCGCGGCCAAGTGTTGGTAGTGGCTAGTAATCTAATCGCCTGAGGCTGCTTAGTATTGAGAAATTGTTGGTGCTCTTCCCTTACTTGTGTGACATTCAGTGTCATGATTTACAATTGAATAGGTGTTTTGCTAAATTGCCGTCCTACTGTGCCAATTGGATAACGAAAACTTACAGTTCCATCAAAATTCCTCGCAAAGAAAATAAATAAATATAGACAATATTCTTCAAATTGGTGTGAAGTTGGAAACCTCTGGCCACGTTTTAATGTCTGCATACATCATTAGGTCAAATATACCAGACAGATTTTTATCTAGTAATGAAAAGCTATGGTTTTAGCATCAAGGTCAATATAGCTTTTTCCCCCCATATTATTTAGAGCATAAGTTACTCATATGTGTCATGTATTACTTGAAATTAATTGTAAAAGTCATAAAAAGTATGAAAGTTTCTTAACTAATATTTTAGTACTTGTTCAGGTGAAAACAAGGATATTCAAGATTCTAAATAGTCTTTGATTTCTAAGAAAACAAATTTCAAATTAAGCAGGCAAAATAAAACTATTGATAAAAACTAATTGATTGAGTAGCGGTACAGCATTTAGTGGATTTAGCAGAGTTGTCATAGCTGCCTTCGCTGGTTTTTACATGATACTACAATAGCGTAGCAGTCACTGTCAAAAAATACTTACGCGAGTGCAGTTGGCTATTTAAAACACTATTGTATATTGTTTTGACTTTCTTTTAATAATGTATCTGCTAGATGTCCACTGATTGTTCACTCACATATGCAATTTCTTTTTGCAGCACAATATCAAGTGATCTAAGTGGAGCTCCTTTTGGGTAATATTTCTTGTTTTGGTATTGAAAACAACCAACGCACATGGTTACAAACCCTTTCTGATTGCTGAACTTAGTTCCCTGCTTCCTGTACATACAGCAATGTAGTTTCATATAGTGATGGAGTGCCAGGTGAGAGCCATGGAATCCCCTACTTCTATCTGACAACGCTAGATCCCACTGCGAGAGATGCATTGGAGGATGAAAGGACCTCCTTTACCCTTAGCGAGTTCCCTCTTGGGACATGTGGGAAGATTGATCCTGAAAACCCAACTTGTGCAAAACTTACTCTTACTGGAAAGGTACAGACAAATTGCATCCATGGTACCATGATTATTCACTTGCTGTTTATCTATCTATTTCTATTTTGCTTTGGTAGTGACTGATCTGGTTATCTTCTTATATCTATTTTTCTTGGTGCTGACTGGTCTAAGAATGTACAGTAGTTAATTTCTTTTTATTAATTCATACTTAATTCAGCTTGAAGTTATAAATTGCTGTAGAGTGAATACTTACTGCTGGACTTGAGTCGTAACCAAACATTATCACTGTTTTGTCTGCCTTCAACTTTATAGTTTTGGGCCTCAATTTCTTGGCATGGGGATGAGAGGTTGAGAGACTTCAGCAGGAGAGCTCAGGCTTTTGGAACTTTGGAGCCTTGTGGATGGTTTAGCTTGTGGCATTGTAGTTGTAGGCTCAATTTTTACATGTTCTTTGCAAGTTTTCTTCACAACTAGGTGGACTGGTGACCAAGTTATCGCCTAGTCTTCCAGTTGTTGTGGAGATACCCTCAGTAGACAATATGATAACCATGATCGAGAGACAAAACAACTATACTCCATTGTCTTATAGTTTTTTCCCCCACGTTCCTAACTGTGTCCGTCCCCTCTCAAATTATCTATCATGGATTCACTGTGAGCAAGAAAACAGCAGATGGTCAAGAAATCATGGTTTATAAAGTTATGTAGATGATATTTCATCAAGAAATTATAGTTTATAAAACTGTTGTGACATGTGAGATCAATGAAGTAGGCAAGTAGCAGGGGCTATAGGCACTTCATTTAATCTCAGCCATAAGAACCATACATAGATGTGATATAGTTGGATCATTTCTTGACTTACTAAGTTGTAATGGAACCAGTGAATTGCATGTTTTCAGTTGAAGTTGATTGACCCTCAATCATCTGAAGCAGATTTGGCCAAAGAAGCACTTTTTACTAAACATCCTGAAATGGAGGGTAAATCCAAGTATTTCTTTGTGTCTTTTACTAATGTGAGATTAACTGGTGATTATTTTATGACAACATTCATGTATGGCTGTTTGATAGGTTGGCCAAAGAATCATCATTTCCAAATCTTCAAATTGGAAATCAAAAACATATTTTTGATTGATTGGTTTGGGGGTCCTAAGCCTATATCCCCCACTGAATACCTTGAATATGAGAAGTGAGTATACAACAAACTTGCAGATATGAACTTACAATGTGCATCTGATCTATTGCCAAGAAACCATTTTTTAACATAATTATGATTTATGCAGGAACCGGGCCTTGCTGAAGTCATCCTAAGCGACGCACCACGTTTATATGTATGTTGTAAAGATAAACAGTAAATTAATTATATATGCTATGTACATATTTACATACTGTGAACACATCTTGTTCATCTTGAATAAAAACGTTATTATGTTTGTTTATGGAAACTGAGCTTCTCTAATTGATCTGAATTTGTTATTCCAACAATGACCATTGATCTGATAAGATAGTACTAGCAAAAGAAACATGTAATATGTCTATTCCAGTACTTTGGGACATGCCTGACAATATTGGTATATGATACAGTGTAAATAAATACGAAGAAATTGTTCTCACACATAACGGAAATGTGTATATACAAGCTTAGCAAGAAATATGGAATCAACAATACTATCACCAAATAATCTAATTTCCTTACACTATATACAAATTTAAGCAAACCATTTCTTAAGCAAAATGAGAAAAAGATCAAACCGTTCGAGCACGGTACGAAACTGACACTGGGACCCACACGTCAGCCGTTGGGCGCTTGCCTGAGCCTGTCGAGCGCCGTGGTGTTCGACCGCGGCGGCGCCCCGTGCGCGTGCGCGTGCTCCACCAGCCGTCTCGGGAACTGCGGCATCGCCATGGCCTCCGACATGACGCTCACGTCGTCCATCCACGGCGCGGCGGCGGCGGCGTCCTCGCCGCCGTACAGAGACTCGCCGGTGGCGGCGGCGGCCACCCCGCCCACGGCGCGCAGCGTCCGCCACGCCACGTCCCGCCGCACCCCGCCGCCGGGGCCCTCCGCGACGCGCCGGAGCACCTCGCCGGCGCCCGCGGCGCGCGCCAGCCCGCCGAACCGGACGTTGCCGCGGCTCATCCCGTGCAGCGCCGAGAGGCAGTACTCCTCCTCCGTGGACCCCGGCGCCACGGTGGCGCGGCGCATGAGCCCCGCCACCGCCGCCACCGCGCCGCCGTCGATGAGCGCCTCCCTCCCCTCGCCGCAGCCGGCGAGGTTGGCCATGACCATCAGCGCCGGGCGGCGCAGCGCGGCGTCCCCCGCGGCGCCGACGAGGGCCGCCACCGCGCCGGCCGACCTCGCGAGCCTCGACCGGTTCATCTCGTCGAGGGAGAGGTAGTACAGCGCCATGCCAGCGTCGCGCCGCGCGCGGTCGCCGTCGGCGGCGCTCGCGAGGAGGCGCAGCAGCGGCGGGACGGCGCCGAGCACGCCGATCGGGATCCGGTTCCTCTCCTCGATCGAGAGGCTGTACACCGCGCCGGCGGCGTGGTCGCGGAGCTCCGGGGACGCCGCGGCGAGCAGCCCGACGAGCACCGGCACGAGCTCCGCGCGCACCAGCTGCACCCGGTTCGCCGGCTCCAGCGAGAGGTTGACCACGCACGCGGCGGCGCTGACCCTGACGCCCTCGTGGCCGGACCCCATCAGGCGGCGCAGCCCGTCGAGCAGCCGCGGCGTGCAGAGCGCGCGCCTCACCCCGTTCTCGCCGCCGCGCAGCGTCTGCTTCAGCGCCTCCAGCGCGCCCTCCTGCCGGCTCGGCTCGTCGTCGAGCAGCCTCACCAGAACAGCCTCCTCCAAGGTCAACCCCAACGCCGCGAACTCCGGCGAGGACGACGACGACGACTCGAACCGCTCGCCGTTGACTCCCCCGGCGCGACCAGGCTCCCGCATCGCCATGAGGTGGCGGACAATGCCCCTCGCCTCCTCCGGCGAGACGGCGAGCGGACGCGGCAAGCCGACGCGGTCGCAGTAGGAGGAGATGGCCTTCCTGAGGTTGGCGTTCGGGATGAGCGCCGGTGGCGGCGAGGCGGCGAGGTCCACGGACAGTGGCAGCGCCGCCGGGGTGAAGCCCAGCGCCACGCAGGCCTCGACGCAGCCGCGCTCGAAGGTCTCGCCGCTGGGGACGATCACCGGGTCGGCCATGAGCTCGCCGGAGATCGGGCACACGAATTCCGGCGGGGTGGCGGCGGCGGCGGCGGCGGCGCCCGCCATGGCACGTGGTCAAGTCAACGGCGAGGCGCACACACTGGTCTGGTCGTTTTGGCGGTTAGAGAGCGTCTCACAGGACAGGGTTAAGTTGAATCTGGACAGCTGGTTGAATGGTAGCCTTGGAAATTTTCTTTTTACAAGATGATTTTTTTTTGGTTGTTGTTGTTCTTGTTTTTATTGATTAAATAATGAGTGTTATTAATTAAAGTGTGAACAAACAACATGATCCTTAAACTTTCGCTTAAGGATCCATAAAGTCTTTGGTATTTCGTATTATCCAAATAAGTCCCTAAACTTTATTATGTTATTTAATATAGTCCTTGGATACAACGTCTACATGCCGCATCACCCGTGCATGCAAATTCAACATTTGAAACATCCATCTAGCTACCCTTACATTCTCCGTAGGAAATAAATAAAAAGAATTAGTAAAAGAAAGGCATTTGGCCATTGGAAAAAAGATGTTGCATTGGTAACTAAAGAATGTGGTATTTTTCTTTTGTTTTATGATTGCTTTCTTCATGTTTTTTCTTTTTTTTCTCTTTTTTAAAAGAAAATGTAAGGGTAAAATGGATATTTAGGGTTTGTTCAGATTGTAGCCAAAATAAACCTACTGATAACATTTTGGCAAGTTGCCAATATTACCAAAATTTTGTCATGATTTCTTACGTGTTTACCAAATTAAGTTTGGCAACAAACTAAATATAGGCATTTTTTGGTAACTTTATAAAAAAAATGATATGATTGAAAATAACATCAGTCCAAATAGGCCCTTAAATATTGACTGTACATGCATGAATGATGTGACATGTCAAGTGTGTCCAATGGCTATATTTAGTCACATGACAATCTTTAGAGATTTGTTTGGACAATACAAAACACCATGAACTAATTTGATCCGTGAGCAAAAGTTCAAAATTGAATTGGCTATTCACCCTTAATTTAACTTCATAAGAAATGGAAGATCTCATGGATCAATGAAAATGTATAGGCCACATTCGAACCTATGACGGACGGAAGATTAAGTACCAACGCATAAAATAAGAGTCACTGATGTTGAGGTTTAATTATTTTAAACTTGACCAATGAATTTATATAATATTTTAAAACAATTTTTATATAGAAAATTTTCTCACAAAATGTATAGTTTAGTATTAAAAAATGTGCTAAAAAACCAAGGTAAAATGTGTAACTCAATGGGTCATACTTCATTATCCGAGCCAATTAGGATTATGAATGCCTACAACTGGTTACAATTAATTTATTATTATGCTGTTGATTACGCGCAGTTACGTGCTGGATTTATAGTCTTTGCTTATGTCAAATGGGGGATTTACGCAAGTAGCTGTTGTGTGGAACGGTTCGATGAGCTGAGATGTGGTGAAGACATTGCCAGAGTGCCAAGAGTTGACCTCTTCTGGAGAAGTGAAGAGTCGAAGGAAGAAGGAATGGTATTGCCTTAAATTCTACTTCTAGGCTTTTGGAATATAAGGATTTTATAGGGTTCCACATGAACTCTGTTTTATTTACATGTAATTTGGGAAAAGAATGATGCATTCAAAATGAGGACTAGCTTTGGTAACAGCGCTTTAAACAGTTTGTTTGTCAAAGTTTATCCAATGAAAAGAGTTCTAGAACCGTGTTCGTCTCTTAAGGTTCCCAACTTTACCTTCTCATTTTTTACACGCACGCTTTCCGAATTGCTAAACGGTGTGTTTTTCGTTAAAAAATTTATATGAAAGTTTCTTTAAAAATTATATTAATTTATTTTTAAAATTTTAGTTAACAACTTAATTAATCATGCACTAATCTACTGTTTCGTTTTTCATGCTAGGACGGAAGGTTCCCAACCTTACCTTAAGAACACACCCGACATATCAAAAGTTTTGCACTGTCGCATACTATTTGTTATAGGGTGTTTAGATCCACTGGCAAATTTTTTTCCCCGTCACATCAAATGTTTGAACACATGTACAGAGTATTAAATATTGAAAAAAAAACTAATTACACAATTTGCGTGTAAATTGCGAGACGAATCTTTTAAGTCTAATTGCACCATGATATGATAATGTGGTGATACAGTAAATATTTGCTAATGACATATTAATTAGGCTTAATAAATTTGTCTCGCAGTTTACATACGGTTTATGTAATTTGTTTTATTATTAGATTACATTTAACACTTTAAATGTGTGTCCATATATTTGATGGAACTAAACACAGCATTAATTGAGTTTGCATTGGTTGAGAAGATACCGAGAAATATTATGGTTTCTAATGTAAAATTTAATTTGTAGTTGGTGACAACCATGAAATGCTGAGATGATACTTGTTTCCGAACTTCAGCTGAAACCAGGGTTCACAATTTCGACGAAAACCGGTCGAATTCCGCGAAATTTCGAAATTTCGACGAGGCTCGAAAGTAGAAGCCGTCTGAGATTTTGATAAGTTTCATCAAATTCAAATTTGAATTGATAAAAAGGAAAAAATAAATAAAATCTTATAAATAGTATGATATTCATAGAACCTATTGGGATATATTATTTTAAAAAATGATGTATTCCATGTATTTAGTGAAATTTATAATGGGAAATAAAATAATAATGAATTAAAAAGAGGGGAACACTTTCAGTTTACCTCTTTTTCTAGTTACCGATTGAAATTTCGATGATTTCACTCGGAATTTCGTCAAAGCCGACCGGTTTTCGCAAGCTTATCCGTAAACTCAGAGAATTTGTATTCAAATTTTGGTTTATGAAATTTATTCAGAATCTACCGGCTTTACACCGAATTTCGCGAAAACCGTAATTCCGCCAGATCCCGAAACGGAAGGCCATCTCGGAATCGTAAACCGTAGATGAAACCATCTCGTGCTAATCAAACTCAATCATGGAAGCTAAACAAGTAGATGCATTCTGAGAATTTTTACATGCTACAACTTCCAAATATTATTTTTAGAAAAAAAGAACACCGACATCCCAAATATTTCACAAGAACAGGAAAAAGAACTCAGAAATCCCAGTAACACATACATACATACATACCTTCTAAGAGAACCGATGGATTAATGTACAGACCTAATTTGGATAGGTGTCACAGTTCTAGGTTCCACTATTCAGTCATAAAGAATTTAACATGTGCAAAGATCCAATTAAATTACAGCTTAATTCCAACAAAAGAATCCACCATCCAATTACACCAACACCATTCATCAGAAGTAGTTAACCACCAGATTTTTTGGGGCCTATGGCAAATACAGTTCCAAATACTTCAACAAGAGCCAGCAAAAAAAAAAAGAAATAAAAAAGAAAGAAATAAAAGAAGAGAAGCGAAGACTTTGACTTTTCAGAACTGCGTGGTGTTTGACCCGGACGCCCCGGCGCCGTAGCTGCTCCGGCGCGGCGGCGGCCGCCGGATCGACACGAGCCCCTCCGACACGACGCTCCCGTCGTCCCACTGCCGGCCGAGCAGCCCCGTGGCCGTGACCGCCGCCTCGTCGTCCTCCCCGCGCATCGCCCGGAGCGTCCGCCGCGCCATGTCCCGGCCCACGCCGCCGGCGCCCTCGGCCACCGGCGTGAGCGCGGCCTCGACGCCGGCGGCGCGCGCGAGCCCTCGGAACCTCAGGCTCCCCCGGCTCATCCCGTACAGCGACGAGATGCAGTACTCCTCCTCCGCGCTCCCCGGCGCGGCGGAGCCGCTGCTCATCAGCCTCACCACGGCGGCCACCGCGCCGCCGTCCATCAGCGCGGTCCTCCCGTCCGGGCAGCCGGCGAGGTTCGCGAGGATCATCACGGCGATCCTGCGGAGGGCGGCGGCGTCGGCCTCGTTGGCGCGGTCGTCCCTCGCCGCCTCCGCCGCGGCGAGCAGCGTCCGCACCACCCCCGGCGTGCGCGCGATCTTGGACCGGTTCATCCCGGAGAGGGAGACGTGGTACAGCGCCATGCCGGCCTCGCGGCGGGCGAGGTGGGCGGCGCCGGCGCACGCGAAGAGCTCCAGGAGCGGCGGGATCGCGCCGAGCACGCCGATGGCCGCGCGGTTCTCGTCCTCCACGGCGAGGCTGTATACGGCGCCCGCGGCGTGATCCCGCGCCTCCGGGTGGCCGCTGCGGAGCACCTCCACCAGCGGCGACACCGCCCCGGACCGCACGATCCGCACCTTGTTCTCCGCCTCCAGCGACAGGTTGACCAGCGCCGCCGCCGCGTTGACCTGGACCCCGGCGTCCCCGGACAGCAGCATCGGGCGGAGCGCGGCGAGGAGCCGCGGCGTGCAGAGCTCCCTCCGCATCTCCCTGTTCTCCCGCGCCATCTTCCGCAGCAACGCCATCGCCGCCTCCTGCTCCGCGGGGCCAGCGCCGAGCATGGCCATGATCCTCTCCTCCGTAGACCCACCCTCCCGCCTCGCCTCCTGCTGCTGCTGCACGAGGTCGTCGCTGTAGTAGCTCCTCGTCCGGACGGAGGAGGCCGGCGGCGGGGGCGGCGGCGCCTGCGACCTCGGCGGGGGAGGCGGTGGCGAGGGCATGAGACGGCGGACGACGTCGCGCGCGGTGTCGGGGGAGAGAGGGGCGGGGTAGGGGAGGGAGAGGCGGTCGCACCAGTTGAGTATGGCGGTGCGGAGCGCGACGTTGGGGACGAGGACGAGAGGGGAGGAGGCGGAGGGCGGGAGGGAGGAGAGGTCGGCGGCGACGGCCGGCGGGGAGAAGGCGAGCGCGGCGCACGCCTGGATGCAGGCGCGCTCGAACGTCTGCCCCGGCGGGACGACCACCGGGTCCGCCATCAGCGTCCCGGAGATCGGGCAGAGGAACTCCGCCGGCGGGTCCGCCGTGAACGACGACGACGGCGACGACGACGACGAGGACGGCATCGGCGGCGAGGACGGCCGCCACCGTGGCCAGGCGGTGGCCATGGACGCGTTCGTCGGCTGCGTCTCGTGTGATTGGTTTGTTTGCTTGGATGCGCTGCGCACCGTGGTTTGTAGCGACGGCTACTTGTGGTGGTCGCCAACGCCAATCGCTACAGCGTTTCAAGACGCGCCATTTGGGAGACGATGACTTTTTTAGCTGGAATACTTCTAGTAACAAAAAAAATTCTTACAAAAATGCTTTTTAACAAAAAAAATCCTTTTTAAATACAGTCCCAAAAAAATTACGCTCATATTCGCACGCGCAAATCACCCATACGATTATGATGGGTTGAAAACTCAAAGGGGGATAATAAGGCGGTGTTTAGATTAGGGGTAAAAAAAATTTAGCTTGTCGTATCGAATAGACGGACACATATTTAAAGTATTAAGCGTAGACTAATAATAAAATAAATTACAGATTTCGCCTATGAACTGCGAGACGAATTTATTAAGCATAATTAATCCATCATTAGCAAATGGTTACGGTAGTATTATACTGTCAAATCATGTAGCAATTAGGCTTAAAAGATTCGTCTCACAATTTACACGCAGGCTGTGTAATTAGTTATTTTTCGTTTATATTTAATACTCCATACATGTATCAAACATTCGATGTGACAGGGTGAAAAATTTTGCCAGTGGATCTATACAGGCCCTAAGTTGCACACCATAACGAGGCTAACCAATCAAGTTACGTTCACTTTGTTTTAGACAGAATTTTGGTTCACTAGCAAATGGTAAATTTCATCTAAGATAAGGGAACATGCAAATTTATGTGATATCGTGACTTGTTGCAACTTCCAAAAATACCTTCCAGTAACATAATGCAACAGCTAGGCCTTGTTCGTATTATGACGTAAAGTTTTTTTTTTCATAACTGGAAACTGAAAACCTCCATTATTCCATATATATTCTACTAGCAGCTGGGCAAAAATTAAAAAATAGAAATAAAAACTAGCAGTTGCTTCTGTCCGTAAACGAATTGTTGTGCACGAGCTCTTTGATAGCGATAGAATTTAGCGACAGCTGAGGCTGAGCTTATGGCATGGAAGGCACGTCCTGGGAGAAAAGCATCAAAGAATCCATATGATCCAAACAAAATCGGTCAAACAATTCCCTTCGATTTTAAACTAGCTTTGCCTTTTTTAAATTTCTCGATCTCCTTTTGGCCACTTTTTGCGAGTGGAGTGATGGCTCAAAACTGCAAAGTATGCTTACACTTAACTACTTAAGCTGTGTCTTTGCGACAGGATCAGGTTACAGGCAAAGAATCCAGGCAAGCAAAGCACACACAGGCGCACGGCGATCTGCTTTGCAGTGATCTTTTGTAAGGCAAGATCGACACATCTATATACTACTAGCCTCTAAGGTAATCTTTTGGCGCTACCACATCATTAAGTCGGAACAAGATCCTTCGCCCTAAGGCTGTGTTTTTTTAAAAAAAACGTAGTACAATAGTATGTGCTCATAAAATTAGGCGGCATATCTTGAGATTAATAAAGTCACTTTATATGTCTTGATGTCAACGAGTACGTCGTGAAAAAAAAACTAGTTGTAAATGTGAGCACTTATGTCAAGTCTACTTGAACATGGGTGGGCACCCGTGTTTGGTATATACCCGAGTGAGCAAGTTTCATCACAAGGAATCTAATCAGTTGAGTTAGGCTCGCTTTGCTTAAGGTTTTGTTCTTTTGAAAAGGTTAGAAACATTTTCTTCCCGCAAGAAAAATGGAGCAGCGGATTAACGCATAATTAATTAAGTATTAGTTAAAATTAGAAAATGGTTGATATGACCTTTTAAGCAACTTTCTTATAAAAGAAGTTTTAAAAATGTATTGTTTAAATGTTTGAGAAGCATACACACGAAAAACAAGTTTGGAAAAGTTAGGAAAGTATGATATAGAACGTGATCTTAGATAGGTGAACATATAGCTATTGACATGTAGGTATACTTTGGAGAAAATTCTCTGTGTATCTCGGAAAGTTCGCCCAATCACTTCTATACCTATGAGATTTGCTCATTCCCTTCCATGTCCCTAAATTTCAGTTTGGATCCCTTCTATACCCCTCCCGTCAGTTGATTGTTAGTTGACCATTAAATTCATATCATAAAGTCCATTTTACCTTTTGGTATCAATAAAATATAAATTTATGAGGTATATTGATAGAGTGTATAAATTTATTGTATGCGGCTATTATATTTATGAGTTTATTTGTGAGATATTATTTAACAAAAATAACTTTTATCTCGCATAACAAGATTTATCTTTTAAAAATCCGTACTAGTATAACAAAATATGTTATATATACCGTTTTCAATGGTAAAGAATATTATTTTTTTGTTTTATCTAAAATAGATTTTATCATAGATAAAAATTATTTTGTTTTCCCTTTGCGATGCGAAACTAAAATATTACTTTTGTTAAATAATATCTCACAAAATAAACTTATGCATATAATAGTCGCATACAATAAATTTATACCCTCCATCAATATACTTCATAAATTTATATTTTCTTATATCAAAAGGCAAAATGGGCTTTATAATATAAATTTAACTGTCAACTAACGGTCAACTAATGGAAGGGGTATAAAAGGGATCCAAACTGAAATTTAAGGGTATGATAGGGAATGAACAAATCTCAGGGGCATAAAAGGGATTAGGTGAAGTTTCACGGGTACCCAGGAAAATTTTCTCTATACTTTGCTATGTAAAAGTTGTGTAACTTAAGATAGGGAATCCGGATCCCATTCAGTAACTGTGCCTCAGCCTGGCTTCAGTGTCATTGTCTGTGCTAGTGTCAGTGTCACGCCTCTTTCCTTGATAGCTCCCCTCGTAATTAAGGCATGGAAATGACTATTAACTGCACCAGGATGAGAGATTAATTAAAGATCTCTGAACAATGTTTACTACTAGTAAGAGACAACTTGTGGCATGATCTGTGGAGGAAAGAGATTGGCCTACCTACTGGCCTGAAGATCTCTGAAGTTCTGAAACAGCTGTTCTCGGAAAATTATTTTACAGTACGATTTGTTCAGCAATCAGCACTGACCTCACCAATTAACGGTTGCTGCTGTCACCTATCAGGTTGGATCCAGTCATCCTGCCACATGGAGAGAGTTGAATCGTGTGATATTGTTTGATCATTTCTGCACAAACACACGGTTGTTAGGAGGTCATGTAGAATTATTAGTGTGCGTTTTACACTTGTCTCGATCGAGCAGCTAATGGTGGTACGGCACAGAGAAGAGAGCAAATCGTTGTTTAGAACAGCATGATGGAACTTTTTTTTTCTAATGACGGATAAGACAAGGCTAATAGGCTTCTCGTTGACAAAAGATGTGCTGAGTTGGCTGCTCTTTGGTTAAAATAATTTGGGATTTGTGGCTTAGGAAATAGGAATTGGTACTGCTCTGATCTCTCTCGATTTGTTTATGATCAACAGACAGATTCTGAATTCTGTTCCTTGCTGGCTCATAAAAATATAATGTTCTTTTGAAGTTTTGATCCGGCAACTTATCGTGGCGAGATCTATGTGTTGGCTCTCTCTGATGATGCCGATTAAATAGCATTTTATCAGTTAGTTGTACCTTGGAGCTGTCTATGTTTAAGGAGAGTGTTTTCTTTTCTCAAGAATAACTGACAATATTTAAAGAACATACAGTACTATTGAATCAACGTCAAATTTGGGGTAAATCCAACACACACACACACACACACACACACAAAGCTTCAAGAAAAATATGAAGCAACTTACCAACACAAATCATATTATGTATGCAAAAATTACACATGTACTAAGATTTTGCAATACTGAATCTACAACGAAGAACTTCAGAAATGCACATGTACAAAAACATATTATGTATGCAGAAATACCCATGTATAGCTATTAGCTAGAAGAACTGCAATAATTGGCTTCATAGCTTCCTCCCAATACTTGGGTCAACATAGAGAATGTCAATGGCGTTTTTCTTATCTGCTGGACGAGATGATGCCAGACTGATACGGAAAATACGGGATGTGTCCCAGTGATTAAGATAACGCTAACTTATTAAGCTCAACTAATTTGCTGTCTGAATGGAGCACTGTTGTTTATAAGAATTTCTTGACTTTCGTGTTCCAATTTAGTTTGCTGCTCCTCTCTCCCTCGAGAGAGAATTTCTGGTACAGCTCATGAGCCTGTAGGTTGCTACCAGCTGGAATTACGTATCTGATGCTGCTGCGGACGATGCCAAGAATGGGGCAGCTAATGATCCTAGCCAGTGTGTAATCAGACAGATTTCTGATTTTTGTACAAACTTCACTGCTTTATTCAGAGATGAGAAAGAACATTTTGTTTAGCATAGTTCAGAGTTCAAAATTCTTCAGTGCTTTATTTACTCCATGAAAGAGAAGAGAGGAGCAAAAGCACGGCAAAGTTCAACCTGTAGATTCATCGCTTTTCCTTTTTGCCCTGTCTTTTTGTTTTCGAGATGAGAAAGGAGAATGGGTTGAGCTGCGGGAAAGGTTCAAATAATACTCCAGCATCAGTATCAGTACTATCCTTCTGGTTTTTGAATGCGCTGGAAAGGCAAGAAATGAATTGGTCAGTACCGAGAAATTAAAGGTGCAAGGCTAGCTAGATATAGCTTCATGAACAAAGTTCTCGAGCGCCATGTCGACCTAGCTACAACAATTTCGAATCTCCTAAATTCATAGCTATAGTTTTTCTTTTTTTTGATAATCCATATTGACGTGATCAAATCATGTCTTACATTCAACGTAAAAAAGAAGTCGAATATTCAAGAAACACTAATAAAAAAAATTATTTTACTTCTCCAAACTATTTCATTGAATCATTTAACCACTAAAAATATATTTTTTTCTCATTTTACCACTAAACTATTAAAAATGTTCACTTTACTTTAATAACAGTTCTCCTCTTTGTTTCTCTTTATGCGAGTGATATTTTAAGCTGAAATTTTATAGAGCCATAAATAACACCATATCAGAATACCAAAATAGTTTCAAAAGTTATCATGACTATTCGGAAATCTCGATGTTTAAACCAGTCTCAGACGCTTTCAACATATATAAACAATGATAAAGCATTTCTAAAGAAAATTTGTTGAGAGGTAAGTTATAACACATCTATCAATCCTCCTGCTAAATTTCATTGCAAAACGAGAAACCTCATTAGCACATGATTAATTAAGTATTAACTATTATAAATTTGAAAAATAGATTTAGTTGCTTTTTTGAAAACAACTTTTATATAGAAACTATTTTTTAAAATACACATCATTTAACAATTTGAAAAATGTGCTAACGGAAAATGAGGAAGTTGAAGTTTGGAGTTGAAGAATACAACAGGAAATACTATTACGAAGTAAGTGAACCATTTTCAATAATTCTCGGTGTAAAATAAGCTGAGAAATTATTTAGGAGGTTAAGTTCTTCAAGGAGATAGTCTAAAGGAGTAAAATGGACTTTTTCTCAACACTATTAATCTTCTAATGAGTGATCTTTTGAGTTTAGACAAGCACTAGTTGAAAAATATATAATCATAGCCGGTTAGGCGTGCTCAAAAGCAATTGAGCATTACTAAGCGGCCCAAGAGTGGAAATCAGGGTTGGTTCGTGGCAAGGGCCGACGGTGCTTTCAATGGTTCATACCTTCCGTCTTCGGCTCAGATGGTCCAGAGTGCAGACTCAATTATACTTTGGACCACCCTAACTTTTATTTTTCTCCAACTCTAACACATCAAGAACCTCAAACACAGCAGCTCTTGCACACCAAGGAACTCTCCCATGTGTGCCTTATGCCCACGTGGAGAAGATGTTGGATGCCGATTGATAAAAGAGTTGAGATGGTCCGTCTAAAGTACAATAATGATAAATTCTAAAAATGAAAATATTAAGTAAAGAATGGTCCAAAATATACTTTTTTTTCAATGGTCCAAAATAAAGTTTGAAGCAAAAGATGTCGACCGCAATCTAGTCTTGCCTAAATGGGTTCCCATCCTCTGCCGTTGGGGGGAGAACGGCAAAGGCGCACAGTTAAACGTGAGGGAAGCTACAGTGCCGTGCAGTCTCTACAGTGGAAAATACTGTAGCTACAGTGAAAAATATATATTAATTATTTTCATCGTTACTGTAGTGTTTAAACTCTTGCATCCAAAACTTGATCCAACGGGTATAAATGCCCCCAAAGGCATGGCACTGTAGCTCTCTGCCGTTCCAGTTGGAACGGCAGAGGATGCGAAGCCTGCCTGAATGGGTAGTTTGGTTTTCTCAAGAGGGAGTCTAGTGCACGGCATTCCGTCCGAACAGGATAATTAAATGACACCTCCACCTCCCCGAGCAAGATATGGATAAGGATCAAAGATGGACTCGGCTAGCCTGACGTATCAATATGCATGGCTTTCACAAAAATCTGCACATAGGAATTAATGGTTGGCCCCCACGTGTATCTAGCGCTTCTCCTTGAGTTTGTAGGTCAGAACAAGCATGTGTAGTGCATCATCAACTATTTTATTACCACGCTATTCTACTAGTACTAACTAGATTGAGACGATTTCTAATAGGTATCATATGATACTTGTGAGATATCACCGGTGATATTTATCATGTATCAGACGATTCCAATCAGGTTTCACGCGATTTCTACCAGGTATCAGGTAATACTTGTGAGGTACCACTTGATAGATATCACCTGATACCGGTTAGGTATCAGGACATGATACTTGAAAAATATCAGAACCTGATACATGTTTTTATCCAAACGGTGATACTTATTAGGTATCAGACGATTCCAATCAGGTATCACGCTATTTCTACCGAGTATCATATAATACTTGCGAGGTATCACTCGATACCTGATAGGTATCACCTAATACCGGTTAGGTATCAAGACAGGATACATATTTCCGTCCAAATGGTGATACTTATCAGGTATCAGAAACTGGTATTAGGACTACCCGATACATATTTCTATCCAAACGGTGATACTCATCAGGTATCGGATGATTCCAATTAGGTACCACGCGATTTCTACCAAGTATCAAGTAATACTTGAGAGGTATCACCTGATACCAGTTAGATATTAGGTCATGATACCTAAAAGATATCAAGAACTGATACATATTTCTGTCCAAACGGGATATGGTCTTGTACAATTCATGGAATGAGAACAGCACAATTTCCAAAGAGACGAACGATTAAAAAAATACTATTAAAGTCCCATGTCTTCTCAGTGTGAACATGCACCCATAAATACACTGATTTGCCTAGCTTTATCATATTGTATTGTCACCAACTCAGATACTGGTGTGACATGTCTGCTCGTGTCACGTGCCCACGAGTACTCATGAGGATTGCAGGCCTGCAACACACTTAGCTGCTCATGTCCGCGTGTCGCTGGAGGTATGATTGTGCACGAAATCAGGTTGACTTATGTCCGTATCGAGGAAGTCATAGAATACTTCATTAAACTATTCCGTTCGGACGGTATCCCGTACAATAATTTTTCTCTTTTCTCAAAGCAGGGGGAACTACATTTATCTTCCTGCTTTTGTTCCCTTCTTACCGTGTCCTCCTTTTTATTGGGCTTAACCATCGCAGTATTGTTACTTTCTTCTCAATCCACCCATCCAGTCAATCCCCAATTATATAGGTGTAGGCCGTGCTTTATTCCTAATCTGTCCAACCAACTATTCTTTAATTATAAGGGAAGGGCATGTACCATTACAAAGCATGATCAAGCCTTAAAAAGAGATTCTTCATGTTTTGGTCCAAGATCATCTTTTCAGCATGGCCCATAAGCACGGCAAGGCCCATTTCTTCAATCTCTTCGACGTCCTCACCTCAAACCTGCCCACTCCAACCACCAACACGGCTAGGTGGCCATATGGACCGGGCCGAGGCATACCGGCCTGACAAGACAGCACTATAGTCGGCCCAAGCACGGCCACTCGTGGGTTGTTCCGGCACGACCCATTTAGCCGTGTCGTGCTTGGAGCGACGCTTGAGTCCATGGGCTGGCACAGGATGACACGATTTCCATTGGGCTAGCACGCTACGGCCCAAGTACGAGCATGGTCGGAATTTTTTCATTTTTAAATTTATTTGTTTAATATTTACAGAAATATTATATCGGCGGATTGATTTACAAAAATAGACCCTTCCGCCCTCCATTTGGGTGGCAAGCTGACGTGGCACACGGCGTCGTAACGGTGTCGTGTGCGCATTTTGCATTTAGACTCTTTGCAGCCCTCTGTAAGGACGGTAAGGGGCTAAATGCAATTTTTGCGCTGCCAAAAAAGCAATTGGATGGTTCTTTTTGCATATGAGACCTTTGCCGCCCTTGCGAATTTTGCACGGAGGCCTCTTGCCGCCCAAACAGAGGGCGGTAAGGGGGCCACGCCCAAAATTCGCAGCCCCCTAAAAAGACCGTCATGCGTCCGTGTGCCACGTCAGCTTGCCACCCAAATGGAGAGCATTAGTGTCTATTTTTGTAAATCTTTTCGCCGATATAATATTTCTGTAAATATTAAAAAAATAAATTTAAAAATGAAAAAAATCGCATGGTCGATCGCCCCACCAAATTTTCCCCATAATTTTTCATCTGTTTTTTCCATTTTTCCTATTTTTAAAATATATTTTGTCTATTTTCTCTCATTTTCCCAAATTTTCCATATGTTCTTTTCTTTTTCCCACTATTTTTGTCATTTTTTCTAGTTTTTCCCCATAATTTTAGGCCTGTTCACTTTGATGACATTTTCAACCTTACCAAATTTTAATAAAGTTGCCAAAATAGTGGATACATTTAGTTTGCTACCAAATTTGGTAACTATATAAGAAATCCTGCCAAAATTTTTGGCAAATTTTGGTAAGGTTTTTTTCATCAAAGTAAACAGGTCCTTTCTTTTTTTTTCTTTTAATTTTCCTTTTTATCTTATTTCTCTTTTTTCGGCCTCGTATTCAAATTCTGTGGGCCAAACGTGATAATGGGCCTATACCGGCCCACATGTCATATTTGGGCCCGTGCCGGCACTGCCCGTATTTTCCATGGACCGTGCTTGGGCCGACGCCTTAGCACATGGGCCTGCACGGTACGGCCCGCTACAGGAGCCATGCCTAATCGTGGCTGGGCCGGGCCATGACGTTCGGCCCATTTGTTCACCTATTGACGGCCACACGCCCACACCACACCTCGTCGCCGGCAACCGCCACCTCCACGGCGCCGCCGGCCAAGCCGCGCAGGCCAGCGAGATGACCCGGAAGCCCAAGCGGAAGCCTCCGCCCTCGCCGGAGCCGTACCACGACCACCCCTCCCCTTCCCCCGCCCAATGCCTCGCCGTCCGCGACGCCCTCCTCGCCTTCCACGGCTTCCCCGACGAGTTCGCGCCCTTCCGCCGCCGCCGCCGCCGCCTCGGCCTCGACACATCCCCGGACCCGGAGGAGGACACGGATGGCGATCCGTCTCCGCCGCCCACCGTCCTCGACGGCCTCGTCACGACCCTCCTCTCTCAGAACACCACCGACGCCATCTCGCGCCGCGCCTTCGCCGCCCTCAAGGCCGCGTTCCCCACCTGGGACCAGGTTTGGTGGCCGCATCCAGGAAGCTTCTAGAAGCTCCCTCGTGTCCTCTGATGCGCGATTCGTTTTCGTTTTTGGAGGTGGTGGATGAGGAGGAGGGGAAGAGGCTGGAGGACGCCATCCGGTGCGGGGGGCTTGCGGCGACGAAGGCGGCGAGGATAAGGGCGATGCTGAGGGGCGTCCGGGAGAGGCGAGGCAAGATTTGCCTCGAGTATTTGCGGGATCTGTCCGTGGATGAGGTGAAGACTGAGCTATCTCGGTTCAAAGGGATCGGGCCAAAGACTGTGAGTTCCATCTCTCTCTTCTCCTGTTTCTTCAGCGAATTTGGTTTTCGTCCTGTTGGATTTCATCGTAATGTAGAGAATGCTAGTATTGATTTTGTTGTGAAGGATGAGGAATTGATAAAATGTGACTAGTGAGAAGTAGTTGTAGTTTGCATGATGGTAGATAATGATCAAAAGCAAAGCAAGTTGCTTTTCTTGTTGCCATGTAAGTTAATACAGCCTGAACTCAAGTTTCCGCAAAAGCCTGCAAAGTATTTTGGCTAACAGTAGTGTTGGTACTAAGTTGTATGAAAAGGAAATTAGAGAAAGTATGCCCTTGTGACTGAAATCATATGCTTGTGTCGGTTATACTTAAATATTGCTGTGTGATTATGGATGGGTGTTAGTCACCAACAACCAGTTTTGCTTTGCAATGAATGGCTAACAGAAACAGGTGCCTGGTAGCCTCCGTGCAATGGCATGGAGCTTCTTCTAGATTCTTGTATTCGGAGTGCAATTGTCCAACTATTTTCCTTCTACTAAGGGTGGTAGTTACAATCATGGCTGGAGTTGTCAATGGAAACTTTTGCAATTATGATTGACAGTGGAATTCAAACAGCATTCCCAAATCAAAGAAGGGACCTTACTTGTGAATGTTTATAATATCTTTTTACGCTCTTTGATTGCTTGCTTAATACTATATTGGCTGCTTGAGTAAGTGTGCATATAGCTGATGATCTTTCTAATATATGCAATTATGCATGTTATGACAGGTGGCGTGTGTGCTGATGTTCTATCTTCAGAAGGATGATTTTCCAGTAGATACTCATGTATGTGTAACTTTATGTGGTTCTTGTCCATACCAAGAAGTCAGTTTAGTGTGTATGGCGTATATGTAATAACATACATTTCTATAATAGGTACTCCGTATTACAAACGCTATTGGTTGGGTTCCTGCAACAGCTAGCAGAGAGAGGGCATATCTTCATCTGAACAGCAAAATTCCTGATGATCTAAAATTTGATCTGAATTGTCTATTTGTAACTCATGGAAAGCTCTGTCAATCATGTTCCAAAAAGTTAGGAGGCCAGAAAACCACCGGTTCAAATTCTATGTGCCCCCTAGCAAGTTATTGTTGCACTGAAGAAAAGATGAAGCAATAGGCCAATAGCCAAGGTAAGCTACTTGGTCCCATTTCGAAATGATATGTATATGCTGCGTGCCAACTATATTGTGCTCTCCAGTAAATGTTCTTCAACTAGCTGTTTTATTATTCGAAAGTTAGATCATGAGCTGGTTTCTCAACTTTAGAATTTTCGTAAGCACTACACTTCTGCTGCACATCTTAAAGTGCATAATATAGGCCCAAAATTTATCCTAGAGAGGTCAACTATTACTTGCTTCTTGCTTATTAAGGAAGTACCTATGTTTAAAAGAGAGTTATAGTTGGTATGTCAAAAATAAAGAGAGTTATACTTCATGGGTAACATGCTGAGTTTTTACAATGCTGTTTTATTCTGGTGTCATGAAATTTATTCAATGAAAATTCTACTGTGTTATTTGCCTATGGGAATCATGCCCTCTTTATTGTGTTGGGATATTGTAAGTTAATCATATGACCTTGCTTGCAGCTACTTTCTTACTGGCAAAAGCACTCTGAATGATGTAAAATATGATACCTAATCGCTGTTCCAGTCTCCACCCAATCATTCATGACATAATCTTTTGCAAATGTAGGAATTGTTTGTGGTTATTGATATTTTCTGAAGGTGGTGTCATAACCTCCCAACAATGCTAATGGTAAAAGGATTTATGCGCTGAAATGTCTCATCTGATGGAAACCTCAGGTTCGGTTTCTTGTTTTATCAGTAGAGACTAGAGAGCTTCCAGGCTTCAGTTGTATGATATGAACTCATTTCTACCATGTAAGTGACACTAGCTAGGGAATTTAGTTTGGAACTTTGGATGAGAAGCAAAACACTGGGGGAATATCGACTTAATCGATACATATCTCATTGATTACACTGACCAAAGGAATCCTAACATTTTTGCTCTAAAGTGCGCTAAACAGAGAAAAAGGCACCAACAGACCACAACCAAAACCAATTGTATGCACCAGGTATCCTCGACTTTTCTGGTGCACATGATGTCTTGTGCCTGACAAGGAGGCTTGTGATTTCCAGGCAAGCAGTGGCTGACGGTGAGCTAAAGATTCTGGTATGTCACTTAGATTCAGCATATGTTCTCGGTCACCATCAGTGCAATCCCATCTGAGTCTCGCCACCCCACCTGCCCCAATGGGACGGGCAATTGTGCAACCAGGTTTCAGTACTAAACTTAACTGTAGTCGCTTTTGAAAATCTTGATTGACAACGTACTGGACCTTGATGCACATTTGGTACCGTATGCTTTGGAGTAGAGCAATGTGCTGCCATGTGATGTGATGGAGCAGCTGGGCAGTTTGCTTCTTGCTTTACACGAAGTTTAGTACTGCGAATCATTTGATTTGATCTTTGGTTAGGTTGCAATGCACTCTGTCAAGTTAACCTGAGAGGCTTGTCTTAATGGGAACATCTGGAGTGAAAGTCAAGTGCCTTTTACAGTTATTGATCTGTCTTAACGCTAACAGAGATACAAGTGGGCTGTACCACTGGCTGAAAAAAAAAAACTAGCATACTACTCCCTCTTGTCATAAATATTCAATGTTTAGGAAAAGATCTGTTTAAACTTTTAAGATTCCAACCATCAATTTGTAGAACTTTATAAAATCTAAGTTTTATGATCATGAAAGCACTTTTTAGCAAATCTACGTATACCCTTTGTTTTGTTTTAGAACTAAGCATTTGGGAAATTATTAATTGTCTGAATTTTAAAAGTACTAGCATAATACCTATGCATTGCAACGGATTTTTTTTAAAAAAAAGTTAATATATATTTTTAAAGCCTCTAAGAGAAGTTATTACTATTAATTAATATATCATAGAGATAGAGCGATGAAATATTCCATAATAAGGGTATTTAATTCTCGTATTTATCTTGTGTGAGGACTTGCCTGTGTGGCTTAAAAAAAAGGTAAAGTCTTCTCGCACTTTTTGCCGACCCTATACGCTAGTTGTGGGTATAGATGATCGAATTTTATTATAAATGTCAAAAAAATTTCATCAGAAATAGTAGTTTATTTTTGATTGACTAGTAAAAATAGAGTTATAAATATAACTACATTATTAAGTGGGTTTTATAGCGACTTACTGAGCCTACTTAATGGGCATCATCAGGGCACTGTTAAATACAATATCAATCTAGATCCTCTACAGTATTATTTAATGCAGTATTGCATACTCCCTCCGTCCAAAAAAAAGATAAACCCTGGTTTCCGTGCTCAACGTTTGACCATCTGTCTTATTTGAAAAAATTATTAAAAAAATTAAAAAGACAAGTCACGCACAAAGTATTAGGGCCCTTTTGAATCAAAAGATTTATGTAGAAATTTCATAGGATTCAAATCCTATAGTAAATTTTCCTATTTGGCCCTTTGATTCAAAGGATTGAAGCTTTCCAAATCCTATGAAATTCCTATGGAATGGCACATTGCATGTGGATTTTGGAGGAAATTTAGCAAGAGCTCCAACCTCTTGAAAAATTTCCTTTGAGTCTATCTCTCTCATCCGATTCCTGTGTTTTTCTTGTGCTCCAATCAAACGACCATTCTTGTGTTTTTCTTGTGTTTTGCAATCCTCTGTTTTACACTTCAATTCCTGTCAGAATCCTGTGTTTTTCCTATTCCTCCGTTTTTTCTACCATGCGATTCAAAGGGGCCCTTAATCATTTTTATCATCTAACAACAATAAAAATACGAATTATAAAAAAATTTCATATAAGACGGACAGTTAAAGTTGGACACGGAAACTCAAGGTTTATCTTTTTTTGGGATGGAGGGAGTATGTAGTAGTGCTCACTTGTATATATAGGCTCGAGGATTTATGAGGCTCATATGTATCTAGCATTCTAGAGGACCTGCATCCATCATATATCTTTTTTTAAACAACTGTCATATATCCTTGATCAATTGGAAATGGATCCTCTGCCGTAGCAACTATCTACGGAGGTTTTACAGTGTCCGTGCATTAGGATGCACGTACACCTTTCGATCAGCAATAGATGCAGCTACAGTAAATCGCATCGCCCGTGCATTGGGGTGCACGTACACCGTTCGATCGGCAATATATGTAGCTACAGTAAATAATGCTATAGTGGTCTAATGTTGTATGCACGTTTTTCTGCACCTTAACAGTACAAATCGAGGAAATAGATCATGATTAGCTATGGTCTTAGCTTCAAATATTGATCATGTCATCAACTAAAGGAGCTGTAGTAACATCGCGCCTGTCAATATAGCTTAAGCTCTAATGATCCATAGCCAAATTTTAATTTTAGAATTAACTTTAGTGTTTTTCTTTTTTCAGCCATGACTTTTGAAAATGTTAAACGTAAAAGTATAAGTCATATCCTAAAATTAGTTTTCGTTGCCTCAAATCCTAGATCACGTGTCTTAACTTATAGTTTTGAAGTATTTGGATCGACCAGTCATACTCGTGTACTCTCTTCGTTCCAAAATAACTCAACCTTTGAATTATTTTGAGACGGAGGGGTAGGCCTATAAAGTATAAACTACGAGGGTCAGATCTAGGATTTTAAATTGATGGTGTTAATGTCATCTCTATGTAATGAGTATAGACAGCAAGAAAATAATGCGATGCGACAAGGTGAAATTGGATTTTCTTTCGAAGAAACATTTTATCATATATTTATACTATCCATCTAATTCAGTGAAAATGAAATTGTAAAGCACAAAACTAAAGTTAGTGAGTACACATGTACACAAAAATATATAGCAACACAGCTGATTTTATTACATGAACATAATATATAAGAATAGAATTCATGGAGGTTGCAACGTATCTTCGCTTATAAGCCGTAGCAAAAAATGCATTCCAAACAGATTCTAAGAATAATCCCCAAATGCTTAAAATCTGTTTAGCTCAAAAGTCCCAAACCTAAGAAATCGTTAACTTTAGGGAAATTGATCGGTTGACCCGCTAAGTAAGTAGGCTAGAGCGTAATTAAAATGAAAATAATATGATAAATTGACCATTTTCTCGGAGTTTTTTCTAAAAAAATCTCACTTCTGCTACTCAGCGGTTTTTCGAGAATCAGTGGTGTGATCTGAAGCCTATTCACTGGGCTAATTTATTTAGCTCAAGCCCAAAGAAATTTATGGGGTGGTGTCATTTCTTTGACGGAAGTGGTTAGGTTAGGTCTAAAGCTTTTGGTGTTATCCTCGCATAAAGAAAACCGTGATGATGTTACCTAACAACGGTACTATTACATTGTCTCTGTCTATATAAGCTGCAGCCTAAAACATAAACTTTAACAGATCATGACAGTTTTAAACTACAAGAACATGTAAGCGTTCACTACTTATGTTTGCTTATTAAGTATCATCATTTGATAAAGTCTAAAGGCGTGAGCAACCGTGCAAATGCAACAAAAGGAGTCACTCCGGTCGGCAACAGCCTCATTGGGCCCGGCTCATCAATCAAAAACACGGGCCCCACATGCCAGGGGCGAGAGGGCAACTGAAACTTCATACATACCTCCTCCGTTTTTTTTAAAACAATATGCAATCGAAGACGCTTACAACACGCGTACACTCACCTCCTATGAATACACACACGCACATCCTACCCCTATGAGCATAGCCAGAAGACTGAACCGATATATCTTGAGATTTACAAAGTCACCACGGGTGCCTTGTTATCGACGGATACGTCGCCTACCGCAAAATAGCCGAGCACCTGTGTCTAAGTTGAATCTGAGTGGGTTGGTTTCACCACAAGAAATCTAATCGGAACGCTCACTTCGCATAAATGCTTCCTCTGTTTCATCATATTACGAGTCACTTTCACCTTTTCTCAAGTTCAATTTATTTAAGTTTCAAATTCATAAAAAAAGATAGCATTTCTAACACAAAACAAACATATTATTAAAATATTTTGTATTTAATCAAACTAATTTATAATATAAAACAAAGAGAGTATGTAGTTATAGGGCTCTGTTTGGTAGAGCTCCAACTTCTAAATTTAGCTATAGAAGTTGGGTCTGGAGTAGAGTTATGGAGCAATCTAAACCTAGCTCCACTTCTCTAGTTCATTTTGTGATAGTGTTCCATCCAACTTCGCTCCTAGTTTATGTGGAGCTGAAACTGTTTGGTTGGGCTTCAACTCCAGGAGAGATGAAGCATGAGTTGCAATGGTGGGTTGTTCGGTCTTTTTACGATGGTTGGCTTTTAAAGAAATCTGTTTATCAAGGTTTACGGATTTTATGAGACCAAAAATGTTTTTATGTGATGGTGGAGGATCACTACAAGTATGCTATAACGGGATCATAAGTTTTTTGGGTGGTTTTTTTATGGATCAGTTTACTTGAGTTTTTTTGAAACCTTTCTTTAAAGGAGAGGAAAGAGAACGACTTTGCTTTTCAAAACAGTTAAAAAGAAAAAAAAAAAGAGAGATTATTAGGCTAATAGCTGCTATCACTAACATCAAAGATATGGAGTACTCCTAGATGTACCTAAGAGCAGGTACAATAGCAGGCTACAAGCTAGCTACAAACATATTATAAAGAGATAAATAAGAAGAGAGAAAAGCAGTGGGCTATAGATTTGTAGCCAAATATAGCACGGACTCCAAGACATAGTATGTATATGACATGTGGGACCAGATATTAATAGTGTAGTACTACCTCCTTCCCTAAATGTTTAACGTCGTTGACTTTTTAAAATATGTTTGACCGTTCGTCTTATTCAAAAACTTATGTGAAATATGTAAAACTATATGTAAACATAAAAATATATTTAACAATAAATCAAATGATAGGAAAAGAATTAATAATTACTTAAATTTTTTGAATAAGACGAACGGTCAAACATATTTAAAAAAGTCAACGGCGTCAAACATTTTGAGATAGAGGGAGTATATAACTATTGTATGAATGAGCTATTAGATTGGTTATAGATGAATTAGAGTTAGTAGTTGGCTATACTATTAAACTTGCTCTAATGTTTCAAAGAGAAAAATATATACTCTAGTAGAGAATAATGGCCGCTATCACTGACAGGCGTGCCCCCACAAGGCCACAAGGCCAAGGCCAGGCCAACCGCTGTCACGTGTACAGCGAATGGCTACAACTGACGGGGCCCACACTACACCAACACCCACTGAGCTGCGGGCCCCACGGCCCCACCACGAGGTACACCTACTATGCCACCTCTTCCCCCCACCACCACCACCTCACTCCCACGCCTCCCTCCTCCCATTTTCGCCGGCCTCGCTCGCCGCCGCGTCGCGTCGCGCCGCCACCTCACGCCACCGCCGCGCGGGCGCGGCTTCCCCTTGCCTTCCACTCCGCCTCCGCCTCCGCTGCTACGGCGCGAGCCAGAAGGGGCGGAGGTCTTCGCCGCGACGGGGATGAGGGGGCGGTGAGCCTGCGCCTACTGCCCCGGCCGCAACAGCGCAGCAGCCACTGCCGCCCCCCACCGCTCGGCGCGAGATCCGAGCGCGACGCGGCTGTTGCTGTTGCTGCTGTGAAGAGCCGGGAGGGGTTGACGCGGCGGCGGAGGAGAGGTCAGGGAGGAGGCGGAGGCCATGGCGGGTTCGAGGTTCGGGTCGTTCAAGTCGGAGAAGGGGGACCCGGCCGCCACGGCGGCGCAGAGGAGGGACCCGTACGAGGTGCTCGGCGTGGGGCGCAACGCCACCGACCAGGAGATCAAGAGCGCCTTCCGCCGCATGGCGCTCAAGTGAGCACTCCCCGCCTCACCCTCAGATTCGGCCCCCTCATTCGATCCTTCTGGCATCCTAGTCCTAGATGAACGCGTCTCGCGGGAATTCGTGCGAGATAAGATAAATTATAGGAGCTTATTTACTGTTTAGTGAACTTTTGGAGGGATTTGGGGGCGCATTTAATCTTGCTAGCCATTCTTGTGTGGAGATTGGTTCTTCTTTTTTTGCTTTGCTATCAATGTTGCAATGGTTTCAGAAGTTTTCCTTGCAAATTGAGGCAGGTACCACCCGGACAAGAATGGCGATGATCCTGTTGCATCAGACATGTTCCAGGAAGTCACATTCTCCTACAACATCCTGTCAGATCCCGATAAGAGGCGGCAGTACGACACATCAGGATTTGAGGTTAGTTCTTGCATGAACTGGTAATTTTTAATCTACCATGTTATGGCAACTGGTGCAATTTGTTCAGGCCATCGAAGCCGATAGCCAGGAATTGGAGCTGGACCTATCGAGTCTCAATACCGTGAACACCGTGTTTGCTGCTCTTTTCAGGTAAAAACATTTTACTGATGTTATATTTCTTTTACTGTTTGCTACTAGCTTGTTATGCTGCTTTTTTTTTCTTCTTAACTGTGCGTACGTATGTGCAGCAAACTTGGTGTGCCGATAAAGACAACCGTATCAGCAACAGTTTTAGAGGAGGCATTGAATGGATCGGTTATGGTTTCTCAGCTCCAGCTTGGAAACTCTGTTCACAGGAAGGTAGGTAATGGCAACTAGCTGTCCATCATCCAATGCTTCTTTTCTTGATGTTAGCAACTAAATAATTGAAAGCTGCATGTGGCCAGGTGGAAAAGCAATCAGCTCATTTTTATTCTGTTGACATAACAGAAAAGGAAGCTAAAATGGGGTTAGTTTGTCGTGTGAAATCAACTGATAGAAGCAAATTTAAGGTTGGTTTTTGTTAGCAAATGTTTTATCATGTAACCTGTGTTTCGTAAGTACATTTCATGCGGTTCTGGTGTTGTCAGTTCTGTTTTAATTTATTTTGATCTAGACTTGTTCAAGTTGTGTACATTTATCCTGCGTAGTGAAGCTATCCTTGTTTGACAATGAGAAAATTTGCCCTTCAGTTGGTGAAATTTAGATGATTTACTTTTGACATATAGTACTCCCTCTGTTTCATATTATAAGTCGTTTGACTTTTTTTCTAATCAAGTTTGACCAAGTTTATAGAAAAATATATTAGTATATTCAACACAAAATAAACATATTATCAAAATATATTCAATGTTAGATTTTGTGAAACTAGTTTGGTATTTTGAATGTTGCTAATTTTTTCTATGAACTTAGTCAAACTTGACTAGGAAAAAAGTCAAATGACTTATAATATGAAACGGAGGGAGTAATAAACAATGGTAACCTGTCCTTTAAATGCATGTTCTGTGTGATCAATAAGTACTGGCTGTGCTGCATATATAGAATAATCACACCTATGGTACAAAAAAATATTGTTTTGTTGTATTCACTTTTGGAAGGGTTCTTTGAGAGGGCTCTGATAATGAAATTATTTTGATCTGGCAGTTTAAATGATGGAATACAACATGCATCATCCACATGTGTTTCTGTAATAATTATGTCAGCTTTTGTTTATCCTGTTATCTCATGGCTTTGATAAAGTTGAGTCACACAATGCTTAGCATGTAAAACATTTATTCAATACTATTGATTGAATACATAAAATTCTCTTGGTTTAATGTCCTTTTCCTTTACTTAGACCCTTAACATTGTTATTCTTGCATACAATTTCAGTTGCTTTACTTTGAGCTTGAAGAAAATGGTGGCCTGAGCCTTGCTTTGCAGGTAAGAGTGCCAGAATCCTGTTCTTCTGCACATAAATTTAATCAGCTTTACATCTGAGCATGTAGAGGTTTTGGATAGAGATTAAAACCCTGCCTACCTCAAGGGGTTGCGCGCAATCCCTATCTAAACTATCCATTACTAAGAAATTGGTCTCGCTATTTAAACATTGTGTGTGCAAAAATGACTTAAAAGTTAGCTTATTATCTGCAAAATTATCATAGTTTCAACTATGTAGCAATATAAAATGCTGCATAGTTGTCAGTCCTGCAGATTCACAAACAAGTTTGAGTAGTCCTATACTCTTGTCTATTGAATTCGCTATTAAACTGTAACACCATGTAATGAGCAAACCGGTGAATATGTTTTTGCTTTGACAACCTTTGCTTCATGCAATATGCAAGTGGCTTAAGTTTGTTTTCTCTTGTTCCATCTGCACAACCTTTCGCAGGAAGACAGTGTAAAGACTGGGAAGGTTACTTCTGCTGGGATGTATTTTCTTGGCTTTCCTGTGTATCGTTTTGAACAAAACAACCTGGTGAGTTTACATATGTGTCATCGTTGTTGAATCCTCCAAGTGCTTCTCTGTGATTCATTTCTCACAAGTTCCTTTTAATTTCAGGCAGCTGCTGCAAAGGATCCTGATAGTGCCTTCTTTAAAAGATTGGACAGCTTCCAACCATGTGATATAAATGAACTAAAACCAGGCACACACTTCTTTGCTGTCTATGGTAATCACTTTGTTTGTTGGTGCAGTGTCAATTACTTAAGACAGTACGAATCCCCTTAAACTCTACGCTTCACTCAGGTGACAATTTCTTCAGAAGTGTGAACTATACTATAGAGGTTGTATGTGGTGAATCTTTCCCTGCTGAAAAGGAGAAGCTCCAGAGTGTTGAGGCAAAGATACTCACAAAACGAGCAGAGCTATCCAAATTTGAGACCGAGTACAGAGAAGTATGTGGTTGCTGCCTTTCCCCTTGTTTTCCCTCACATTCTTTCTATGCACTGGGCGTCAGCTGTCAACATTTTTCATATTCCGAGATTCACAGGTTTTGGCAAAGTTCACTGAGATGACCAGCAGATACACACAAGAAATGCAAGCAGTATGTACAATTCTATTGCATAGTCATTTTTGTACTCCGTCCCATAATATAAGGGATTTTGGGTGGATGTGACATATCCTAGTACTGTCCAGATTCATTGTACTAGGATGCGTCACATCCACCTAAAATCCCTTATATTATGGGACGGAGGGAGTATTCTACTATTTTCTTAGTCCACATGGTCTTTTTGTAGATCGATAATCTTCTGAAGGAAAGGAATGAAATCCATGCGTCCTATACCAACAATTCACCACTGAAGAGGAGTTCAAGCAGGAGTAAAGCTAAATCGCCTTCAAAATTTTCCAAAGGTGAGGAGGAAAACAGTCAGAGAAAGGAAAAGAAAGTGAAAGACCAACCCACGGGTGGATGCAGAAGTGCAGATGAAGATTCAAACGAAAAGAAAACCAAAGAGCGGTTCCCAAAGAAGAAATGGTTAAACATTCCTTTCAAAATTGACAGGAGAAAGCCATGCTGAGTGATGTAATATATTCTTCGCTGTGCTATTTTTAGTATTTTCTTATGAAGTATCCTCAGTATACTTATCTTTCACCTTTGGTTTTTGCAGGTAATTCCCTGCATCATACTGTTTAACCAAAATACAGAGCATTTTGGCCCTGACCATTCATAACAGAACCCCTCCCTGGTTTATTCTAGAAAGATTGGGTGCAGGCCTGAGATGGTTGGAGAAATATTTTTTTCGATCCCCTTGAAGCTCCTTTTGGTCAGTGGCCACTCATCGAACTGTATCAAAATAATTAAGAGACCGAGCTCGTGATGTGATCGTGAGATAGAAGCATCCATAGCTTGTCATATGTGCAGCCACCATTGTCCAATTATGATTCTTTTCATCGTATATTCGTATGTTTAGTTTTGTTTCGATTCCCTTTGTAAGCAGTTGTAAATATAGGTTCTTTTCACCATATGCTTGCTGTACATAATGTACCTTCTTCCCTCGTCTGGATTCCTGATGTGTAAGAAAGACAAACCATTTACCCAGTTTTGGATTTGTCATTCATGTGTAGTTTGTTGATGCATGCTAAGCTGGAGCAAAGTATTCTTGCATCGAACTAAGTTGCCGTTTTTGCAAAATTCTGAAGCTATGGAATGTTGCCATGAGCCATAGGAGATGCCAACTCCATGGAATCTCTCTTTTAACAAGCAATTCACATCTCAAGTTGTCAACGATTTTGCTAGCACTGAATAGCGTCCTTTGAGATCCTCAGGCAAAATTTATTCGTTCCAAAAGGACCCAAAATGTAATTGATCATGTGATCGCCGTCAGCCCAAAGCATGTAATAATTACAAAATGGATTAAAACGAGGGCCCAAAATGTTATTGATCATGTGATCGCCGTCAGCCCAAAGCATGCAATAATTACAAAATGGATTAAAACGAGGTAACATACTATTATATGATTAATTAAGTATATTAGATTAAAAATTGAAAAATACATTAATGGTTTTTTAAAGCAACTTTTCTATATTTTTTTTAAAAAAAACATATTGTTTTAGTAGTTCGGAAAACGTTCGCGCGAAAAACGAGGGAGTAGAAATTGGGAAGAGGAATTATCGAACGCAACTAACTCTTGTTTTTATTGAATTACTACCTCCGTTCCATATTACTTGTCTTTTTGAGTTTTTGTTTGTCAATGTTTGATCATTCGTCTTATTCAAAAAATTTTGGAATTATTATTTATTTTGTTTATCATTTGCTTTATTATCAAAAGTACTTTACATATGACTTATCTTTTTTTATATTTACACTAATTTTTTTAAATAAAACGAATGGTCAAACGTTGCAAATAAAAAGTCAAAAACGTAAGCTATTATGGGACGGAGGGAGTATAAGATAATTTCAAATTATTCCATATTTCCATTGGACAATAAAATCCCCTTTTCATTTTCGAAGTAAAAACCGCTCCTCATCAACAACGAAGAACCAATAAAAATCGACGATTTTCGATCAATGTCGTACAGAACCCGGTTAATATCGATCGGTTTTTACGAACCAAGACCTAACGGTTTAACGAAAATCGATCGGCTTTATGAACTCTGTTGACACCAAGTCCTGAGACCATTCCCTACCACTCTCTTTCCCTCCATTTGCTCTCCTCCAAGAAGCTCTCCCGCCATCTAATCCTTCCTCCATCCATGGCGAGATCTCAGATACCTGAAGGTAAGCTAGCTAGCAAAAGGTAGGTGTAGCATCGCACGCTGCCAAGAAACCGACCATGGACACTCACCTCGTCGTCGTCCTGGCATTGCTCGCCGCCGCCGCCGCGGCGGAGGCCAAGATGTCGGCGGACTACTACAGCAAGACGTGCCCGCGCGCGGACCGGATCATCGCCGACGTGCTGGCGCAGAAGCAGATCTCCAACCCTACGACGGCGGCGGGCGTCCTCCGCCTCTTCTTCCACGACTGCTTCGTCGGCGGCTGCGACGCGTCCGTGCTGGTCGCGTCCACCGCCGCGGCGCGCTCCGAGCGCGACGCCGACGTGAACCTGTCGCTCCCGGGTGACGCCTTCGACGCCCTGGCGCGCGCCAAGGCGGCGCTGGAGGTGGAGTGCCCGGGCGTCGTCTCCTGCGCCGACCTCCTCGCCGTCGCGGCGCGCGACCTCGTCACCATGACGGGGGGGCCCTACTACCCGCTCCGCCTCGGCCGCAAGGACGGGCTCTCCTCCTCGCCGTCGGCGCCCGACGCCGAGATCCCGCACGCCAACCTCACCGTCTCCCGCCTCGTCGCCGTGTTCGCCGCCAAGGGCTTCACCGTCCAGGACCTCGTCGCGCTCTCCGGCGCACACACCCTCGGCTTCTCCCATTGCAAGGAGTTCGCCGCCCGCATCTACGGCGGCGGCGGTGGCGGCGCCGACCCGACCATGAACCCGGCGCTCGCGAAGCGGCTGCAGGAGGCGTGCAGGGACTACCGGAGGGGCCCGACCATCGCGGCGTTCAACGACGTGATGACGCCGGGGAGGTTCGACAACATGTACTTCGTCAACCTCCGGCGAGGCCTCGGCCTCCTCGCCACCGACCAGGAGCTCTACGGCGACGCGCGGACGCGGCCGCACGTGGAGCGGTACGCCGCCAACGAGACGGCGTTCTTCGCCGACTTCGCGCGCGCCGCCCGGAGGCTCAGCCACCACGGCGTCAAGAACGGCGCCAACGGCGAGGTGCGCCGCCGGTGCGACGCCTACAACGGCGGCCCGCGCGGCTGATCGCGGCGCGCACGGTGGCGGCGGCGGCGGCGGCGGTGCCTCGAAGCATTGATAGTCTAATCTTAGATTAGTGCAGGAAGATAACACGGAGAAATTCAAATTAGTAGGTATAAAAAGAAAATATCTTGCTGTTCAGAGAGGAAAAAAAAGGGGAAATAATCAACTTTCACAAGTGAAATCATTTCGTAGTCATATACTTTAGGCTGTGTTCTAACGATTATCAAGGCACGAACAAATAAATTAAATACTACTCCCTCTGTTTCACAATGTAAAACTTTCTAGCATTGTGTCTAGATTCATTAATATCTATGTGAATATAGACAATGCTAGAAAGTCTTATATTGTGAAACGGATGAAGTAGTATCAAGGTAAAAGTAACTATTTAAAACCGTTCTCTAACAAATGTTGATTGTCGACGAAGAAAGTTCCACTTCCTGCTACAGTATTCGTATGTATAGAGTTGGAACAATCGGTTAGTATGAAATGCAAATGAAGATGTAGCTAGAGACAGGAAGAAAAACTTTTATACAGTTTTAATCCTCGTAAATGGTATGCCATGGCCAGATTGGGGGCGGCGTGAACTTGCCTGATCTGTGGGTGATGTGGCTAGGCTTGGCAGCTAGAGGGACAACGCGATGGTCTGGTGACGATGTTGTGCAGGTGGGTTGTGTGGTGTTGGATGAAAATTGTTGGTGAAAGCCTTGGCTAGCCTTTGGCTAGCTTGACAACGACGAAACCCTTAGGTGTTGTTTCCCTCCTTGGAGGCGTCGTTTTGGCGTCATTTCTCCTCCACTATCAAGAACCTTGCCTGTGCAACAATGGTCGTTGGTAGACTCCAGTGTCGAAACTCCATAGGCTTAGCTGTTTGGCAAGGCATTCACCTTCTGGCTTTTGTCTTGGTTGTGGTGAGCATCCAACTTTCTTCGTTTCGGCTAGGTGAAGTCGAAGCTACTTCGTTGTGGTGCAACAAAGCTCGGCAACGATAACACGTTGTAGTCTCTAGGGGTGCTGGTGTTAGCTGTTTGCAAGAAGTGTTTGCAAGAAGTGGTGCTTGGTTGGCTTGGGTTGATGTCCAAAGCAAGCAGTTGGTGTTGTTTTGTTCGTTTTGGCGATACCTTTGGCAATGATGATGTAACAGCTGTGAAGTTGGAGCTGCTATGTCGCTAGGCGACAAGCTCGGCAATGATAACACTTGTCTCGTGAAGTCGAAGACTTTGTGCGGCCTTACGATAAGCTCTTCTTCGATGATTGTTTTGGGCTCCGTTTTTGTCTTTTTTTTCTTAGTCTTGGTAGCTTAGATAGTTAGAATGTGCTTGTGATATGCATGATGTGATTGTGGAAAGAGAGATGGATAGTGTTGGGGCACCCTAGGTAATATACTATCCAATATCCAACGTGATCACCAAATGTATTTTTATCCTACTTATCCAAATACATGTGATGGTCACGTTGGACACTGGACGGTATATTACCTAGGGTGCCCGCAGATAGAATATTTTTTGAGGGCAGATAGAATATTCATATAGCAATAAACGAGCATACAACGCTGAAAAGATATCTATCAGTACTTTATGGCTCAGTGCAGTCTATATGAAGTGGGATCCACCTTTGTCGATTTCAATACAAATAGACCCTTTAGGGGATAAATGCTACTAGTGTAATTATACTAGGTCGGGGGGAGTGATTTGTGAACACACTTGGTATACATTGAGGGGGAAAGAAAACTCTAACTCTAACCTATTATACTCTCTCCGTCCCTAAATATAAGGAATTTTGGTGGGATGTGACACATTTCTAGTACAACGAATCTAGACAAGATTTATTGTACTAGGATATGTCACATCCCACCAAAATCCATTATATTTAGGGACAGAGGTTTTATCCAGATTCGTTGTACTAGAATGCGTCACATCCACCAAAATCCATTATATTTAGAGACAGAGGGAGTATTAGGGTCTGTTTCGCACAGCTCCAGCTCCAGCTCCACCCCTCCTGGAGCTGGAGCTCAGCCAAACAGTTTCAGCTCCACCAAAACTGGGAGTGGAGCTGGGTGGAGCTCTCTCATAAAATGAACTAGAGTTGTGGAACTGGGTTTAGGTAGCTCCACATCTCCACTCCAGACCAAACTCCTGGAGCTAAATTTAGGAGTTGGAGCTATACCAAATAGGCCCTTAGTTTAAGAGAAGTGATCTCATCATCTCATCAGGATTGTTGGTGGCTATCTTCTAGGATTCTTCCAAATGTCAACTCATGGTTTATGTTGGATGACTTTTGCTTCGAGAGGAAAGAGTGGTTAATACAAAGAGTGCCCTCCATACGCAAAATTTGTAAATCTATAGATTAAATTGGTTCCTCTCAAATAAATATCGTTTTAACGAATCAAAAATCAAGATAAAAAAAGGTTGAATTGGCCAGCCAGGCTAAAAACTGGATAAACCAAAATACTAAAAAAAAAACCAAAAAAACCTGACATGATCCACAACCTTACCTTCCCCCCTCTCCGACTCTCCCCTTCCTCGTCTCCATCTCGACACCACCCCTCCCGCCTCCCATGGAGTCCTCCCTCCTCCTCAAGCCCTTCGTCCTCCTCCCCTCCGCCCCGCGCCGCCGCCACCATCACCACCTCTCCCTCCCCACGCCGCCGCATCGGCGCCTCCCCTCCTCCTCGTCCTCGTCCCGCCACGCATCGCCCGCGTCCTACTCGTTCGCCGTGACCCGCGCCGCGCGCGAGCTGTTCGACGGCAGCGCGGACAGGCCCCCCGGGGGGGTCGGCCGCGGGGGCGCGCGCCGGAGGGAGTACCGCGTGGAGCAGGGGGAGGCACCACCGGCGGCGGCGGCGGCGGCGGCGGTCAGGGGCGTCTCGCCGTACGTCGTCCCGGCCGCGGCGGTCCTCGCCCTGAGCTTTGGTACGGCCTTTGCCTTGTTTCCTCCTCCTCCTCCTCCCCCTCCCCCGCCGCGGCGCATCCTTTTGCTTCGCCAATTCGACTCCCATTGATCCAACATGCGTGGGGAGCTCTGTTCCCTGCACATTAGATGGCATCGTTTCACAGGACTTGGTAGAATATATCTGAATATGTGCACAATTACCACAGTTGCAAGCTCATGCGAATTTCTCAAGGGCTTGTAACATTTATATCTCGCGGATATACTAGTACACCGTTAGATGCTATATATTTTCTCCATTTCATATTATAAGCCGCTTTCACTTTTTTCTAGTCATTTTTTTAAGTTTGATTAAATTTATGGAACAAAATTATCAACATCTAGATAATAAATTAGTTTCATTAAAACTAACATTTAATATGTTTTGATAATATGTTTATTTTGTGTTAATAATGTTGCTATATATTTTTTTAAAACTTTATCAAACTTAAAAATGTTTGATTACAAAAGAAGTCGAAGCAACTTATAATATGAAATAATGAAACAGAGGGATTATTATGCCGAACTTTTCATATTTTTATCACGTTATGTTACAGAGCATGTAATTTTTTCTGCGGTGTGTGGAATCAATACTAACTCTCTGTTTCAGAGGACAGTCATATGGAGGGTGGTTCAGAATTTGCTTCCCGGGAAGACAAAGGACCAGAGTTCTGGAGAATCTACCCCTTCTGGGATCATGTGGTCCTTTGCCGCTGGTTCCAATTTGTCAACATCTGCAAGCTTTAATGCTGAAAAGGAATCAAGGAAGAATTTAAATAAGTTCTATAAGGAAATCAGGACTCTGAAAAATGTTAACATGGCAGGTAACTAGAGTCTATGTGTACTTAAGTTAAAATATTTGAAAGAAAATGCTGAAACCAAGCTCTGAGCCTTCAGATTTGTGTTGCATATTGTACACTTAAAACTTTACTTACTCGGCAGGTCGTCAATTTGGGGATGAGGGTCTGTTTTTTCTAGCAGAAAGCTTAGCCTATAACAAGGTCAGATATCCGATATATCATATATTGTTTTGGTTGCAATCCATATATGAGCATGAGTACATGCTTACTTTCTTACCGATTTTTCCTTACTAATATACTAGCTCTTTTGAATACTTTTTGAAAACGAGTTGTTCTCTGTATTCACAGAGTGCAGAAGAGGTAGACTTTTCTGGCAATGGGATAACAGCTGTGGGGATAGAAGCCTTTGATGGCATTCTTCAGATAAATACAGCCTTAAAATCTCTCAACTTATCTGGAAATGCCATTGGAGACGAAGGAGCTAAGGTCTTCTCAATCTTATTGCCTCTTCGTATCATTTTGTTTTTGTAGATTGTTGGTGTGATGTATACTATGCAGACAATGTTCTCTTCTTAATTTCATTTTCTGAAGTCTGAACTCATATGATTACATAACCATGTTATTACTTACCTTTTAACTTGTTATCAAAAGGTTGGCTGTTTCACATTAGCACCTTTTACGAGTTGCATTGTTATTGTTTGCCTTTATGCCTAACTGGAGTTTGTACACTGTGATAGTTTATCGATTATTCAAATACTCATCTTGCTGATATTATCATTCATTGGGAGCAAATATGATAGAACCTACCCAGCATGATATGTATAGATGTAAACTTAACTTTAACTAAGTCCTCCTGACTGAATGTAACACTCATGAATACTTACAGTGTCTTTCAGATATATTGGTAGAGAATGTAGGTATCCAGAAGCTCCTATTGAACAGTACAAATATTGGAGACGAGGTTTGTATCTCTCCCTCCTTCCCTCTCTCTGTCTCTCTTGCACTCTTTGTGTGTTGTTTCATGCGCGTGCACTGCAATGTAACATGATATTTTCTTTTCAGGGGGCAAAAGCAATTTCGGATATGTTGAAAAAGAACAAGACGATACGTACTTTACAACTCAGCAACAACACAATAGAATACAGCGTATGTATATGTATCCACTTCATCGAAGACATGCACTTGAATCACAAATAGAAAAGAAAAACTAACCATATGATTGTTTATTGAAGGATTGCTATTTACTATATCTCCTTTTTCTTGGAGCAGGGTTTTGCAAGTATTGCAGAAGCACTCCTTGAGAATAATGTGCTACGGAGCTTATTTGTCAAGTTAGTTGCTCACAACCCAGTGGCTTTATATGTGATATATGATGAGTGTGCATATGAAGTTGTGCTGAGATACTGCGGTAGTGATTACATTGGTAGTTCATTTTCTGGAACTAACTGACATGTACTTTGTCTATTTACTCTAGTGGCAACTATGGTGGTCCTCTTGGTGCATCCAGCCTAGCAAAAGGAATTCTAGG